TTTAATTCACCATAATTTACTCGTTCTATGTTTAACCCAATATATGGCAGCTCTATCTGTAAAGTTTTTCTCCAAGCAAGTTCAGGTTGTGCAGCTCGGCAGCTGAACTACCAACGAACGTAATAACCATATTTATTGAATATTTCCAATGAAAAAAATACAAACATCAATCTCTACTAAAGTATAGCAATCTCAACAACAATAAACCAACCAGAATAAAATTACATTTTATCACAATATACAAATAAATTAATACACGAAATTAAATCTATATCTTTCTTTTTCTTCTCTCTTTAATTTGTCTATCAACTTCTCTTACTCTTTCTCTTTTCAACAACGCCTTCATTGCCTGCAAGCATCAAATACTTATCCTTCCTCGTTAACGACGTGCACTCAAACCCCAAAGCGTCAGCAAGTATTTTCTGTATCCCGTTGGCCACCTCCATCGCCGTCCGTCCGGAGGCACACGTCATCTCTTCTGGCACGTGGCCTAGGAACCGGAGCAAGTACTCGGGCCGTGGGTTCATTAGGAAAAAGACCGGATCTAAAAACTTGAAGCCACTCGCCGTCGTGCCGTAGAACATGGTTACGCTGGTGTCCACGGCTACCGGCACCATGTTGTCAGCCAACTCTGCGAAGAGCGCGCTGAACCGGAGAAGATAAGGCTCACGACACGTGGTCCCCTCAGGACAGACAACTACGTCTCCTTCCTTAAGAAGTTTGGTAATTTTCTCAGCGTCTCGTTTTCGGTCTCTGGTGAGCCTGGCGGTTTTTATCGGAGAAATTAGTTCGGAAATTGGGCTGAGGCTGTATGTCACGGCTGTGATAGGGCGGTTGATAGCTGCGCTTACAAATAATGGATCGAGGAGGGTGCGGTGGTTGCAGACGTATAGAACTCCTTTTTGTTTGCTGTCAGTGTTGTCGAGGGGAAGACCGTCGACGCGTAGGCGGATACCACTTATGGGCGAGATGTGTTTTGCAAGTTTGTAGGGGAGAAGATGGCCGATGGCTGCACGTATGATGAAGAGAGAGATACCAATTGGAAGCCACAGGAAGAGAGCTAGCATGGATGATGGCATTGGAAGGAAGGCGAGACGGCCGTCGTGGAAGATTAAAGGCTTCGGATATTTCTCTCGGGGAAGGGTGGCCCGGCTACTGTTGTCCTTGTTTACTATGTATGTTTGCTGTAATGTTCATACCATAGAAATGTTAAAACAAGCTTTTATAAGTAGATGTAAGAGTACTCCAATAAGTTAGTCCTCAGAAATTTTTTCTTTTGTTATGATAGTCGTTTGTTTCAAAAGATTTCAGTTTTAAATTATTAGAACAATTTTTCATGAAAATTTTGGAAATCTTTCATTGGCGAGACAAACTAAAAGATTGTTACAATATGTTAATTGAAGTTTGTTTCAAAAGATTTCAGTTTTAAATTATTAGAGCAATTTTTCATGAAAATTTTGGAAATCTTTAATTGGCGAGTCAAACTAAGAGATTGTTACAATATTTTAATTGATGATCTGGAAAAAACTCAAATTAAGTAAGAAAAGTAATTTTTATCAATATATTCAATTTTTTAAAAGCAGTAGTTTTTATAATTAATCATGTGAATTTATGGAGAAAGAAAACTCATGAAAATGAGGACTATTTTGCGCTTTTTCAAAAGTTACTACATATTCATAATATTCTTTTAATTGATACGCCAGATATAATAAAGAAAAAAGATATATATACGGGAATTTGATGGATCTGCTAAAATTTTATTATGTTATGATATATAATTTGATAAAATATCAAAAGATGGTACGCCGGCCAATTAAATTGCTAGCAATATCTTTCATAAAACAAATGTTACTTTACATTTAATTTGATGATGGAATGTAGTTTGAAGTACCACTACCAACGGATTCATATAGAAAACCTTATTATTTTTAATAAAACAAAAATATTTTATGGAGAAAAATCTATACACCTTTTTTATTAAGTTTTTATTTGGACTGTAGAAAAAGTTAGATTTAATTAGCTTTAGTTGAGTTTTTCCTTGCCTAATAATAAAGATTAGTTCGCAAGAAAATAAACACTAAAAATTTGGATGAGAAAAAGCAAGTTCCGAAGCAAATATTTAAAGGAGAAAGCCAAGGGATTGTTATCGAACCTTGCAGCTGGAGACAAATACATGATCATGCGGATTTCCATGGCTTACAAGGCCAATATCAGGTTTGTTCTCCCCAAAGAGATCCCTAATAGCCTTATGCTTTGAAGAAACCCCGAGCCCACCAATAATGATACCGGTGTAAAAGGACCAGGCTCCACCACCAACAACCTTCATTTCAGCGCCGGCAACTTCATTAGCACCCAAATAATCTTTGAGGAACCATTCCACCATAACCCTCGGCACGCCAGTGACCACCAACTTCTTCCCCTTACTCGAAGCCCATACATGATAAGCTCTCACATCCAGGTTCTCCAAAAAGAACTTAGGAAGCACCGCCTTAGCTACTAAGTCGACGTCCTTCTTCCGAAGACCGCAGAAGGAGATGAAAGCCATGATTCTTAAACTGAGCTCATGATGATGGTGGCCAAGCACTAAAACAAGAGGATAAGATAGTAGCAAAAGAAAGGCTCTGAGAAGGCCACCACCTTCAAAGGCGAGAAGCATGAAGAATGGGAAGAATGAGCGGGTTGTTAGGAGAGTGGATTGAAAGTCACAGGCTATGGAAGGCGCCTCCCTGCCTTCTAAGGAACATTTAGCCACGCTGGGACAGAGAGAAGGGAGCGGAACGAAGAAGTTTTGTGTAGGAGCTGGGTGTAGCCTCGTAGCTTCTTGGCTGCGCCGCGGCCATAGCGCAACCAGTGGGTGGCTATCTTAAGAAGAGCCATGGGGAGCACCACCAAGGTTGGATTTGTTGGGTAAGCTTTAGTGTTCCTGCCTATCTTATTTGGTGAAGTTTGGGTGAAGTTGGGGATATTTATAGCCCTTGAACGCTTGAGGAACGACGGAAGAAGGAAAATGGAGCAGGGGTTTGACCGCGGTAAAGTAAAACATTACTTCAGATGAGAGACGGTAGGTTTGGGTGTTGGTCACCTGTGCGGGCCTACTTTCGCGGTCTTTTGCCACGTGGAGGAGTTTATGTGCTGGGGATGCTGTACTTAATAGGAGCCGACTTTTTTGAGACACATTTTTAAGGCCACGTGGACAGGAGGTTACATAACGGCGAGAGCACGGCCACTAGATTTTTAGCCTGGCTATTACGAGCCAGGTGATGCGAAATGGGTTGAATGAATAATTTTCAGAAATTAAAAAAAAAAAAAGTCAGACAACAGGTGGACTAACGATTTCTCTTTTTAATTACGAGTAGATGACATGCTATCAAATTTATTTTTTCCATTTATAAAATTAAGATTCAAATAATTTTTTATATAATTTATTTGTTTGAAGATTGTCGCTCTGTCTTAAAATGAAAAGAATAAAAAAGAGATCCTGCAGGAAATTCACTGATTTAGGGGTCTTAAAATAAAAAGAATAAAAAAGAGATCCTATGGGCAATTATTTGGTTTAGGAGCCCATTTGTTTTAGTGAAAAAATGTTGTAGTGTAATTTTTTTCAGAAGTTTCAGTGAACAAGCGGTGTAGTGTAATTTTTTTCAGAAATTTAAGAAAATTATGTGTTTGACATAAAAATTTATAAATATAATATAAACTTTTAATGAATTTGATGTTTACACCCTAATTCATTTTGAATGAATTTAGAATTCAACAGATTTGATTGAATTTGAATAAGAAGTTATATCCAAGTTGCCCAAGCAATATGATCCTCATGCTGTTGCAGATTGTCGTTTTAGAAGGCTGCCCATAAAGTTACCTCCAGGCTTCTTGGCAAAGTAGCATTCCTAAAGTCTAAGATTTAAAGTTTTAAATGACAAATTTAAATTTAATCATGGGGGGAGGGTTAAATTTGATTAGAGCGACACCGGTT